ACTATGTGATGTGCACAACATACAAGTATAGACTAGATCGCCTAAGTTGGAACAAAGCATCTCATGTTTGTTTAAAAATGGTTTCAAGGTGCTACTCGCAAGTAGGCTAAGACGTGGATTTGCCACTCTCAAGTGAGCTTAGAAAACAAGATTTTGCCACTCTCAAGTGGGTTTAAAACTCGCATTTTAATGAATTGTTCCAATTTAAGCAATCCAACCTTCATCCACAGGCGTTCATGCAGTTAATCAATTAAGCAAATAGCCTCATGGAATGCATGATATACATGGCAGCCACTAACACACATGCAGTATTCTAAAGTGTAAAAGCTTACCTAGTACTCCGAGCTAAAACAAGAACTAGTTAGAAATCATGCACGATCCTAGTTTATGTTTAAGATGGCTAATGCAGCATATGCAAAATGCAACTAGAAATAGGCTTGGCTATTCTAAGGTGGCATGTGAGATACAACTTGATAATCATGTATTCAAGTAGGAATTGAAATACAATGCGGTTCGTATGATGTGCCGAGCCCGGTGCATGCAATACAGATGAATGGATGCAAACATGCGAGCATAGGAATGCTAATTGAAACATGACCTAGAACTAACCATTGTAAGCGGTTAAGTAAAAGGGAGAAAGACGTGGGGTTGGAAGACATTCACACACCCACGCACACTTATTACAAAATTCGCCCTCTCGACGGAGGGTCCGAATGAATTAACTAGCTAGCTATGCTAAGCTATTCTAACTAATCTAATAATCTAATTAGACTAATTATTACGTAATCAAAATGAATAACTAGCTAACACTAAGGTAATTACTACAACACGTTTAACTAATTAAGCAAATTAATCAAGTTGCAAAACCAACTAAGTAAGGAAGGAAATAACCTGAATTGAGTTGCCACAGCTCTGCCTCGGAATGATGAATGATGTATGCTCGATCGTCTCGCTCGGAAATCCGTTGCCATGCCTCATGTTACCTCTGTTTGCACTGTTTTAGACTTCTGAAAATTATACAAATCTCCAAAACACTTCTGATCCACCTCATGGGTATGCTGAGAGGCCATCGGCCAAATGGTATGGTCATCGGCCAAGGGATAAGGGTCATCGACCACTTTTGAGTCCATTGGCCAAATATTGATAGCCGATCGGCACACTAGATAGCCGATCGGCCATCTCTTCCTGCAAATTGCTCCTTTTGCTGCAGCAAAGTACAAACAGAGGCATGACAATACATTTGCAAGAAAATGTTGTGCAACTACACCCCTTATCATGTTTGAAACTCAAAGGAGTGCAGTGCTCGATTCTCGAGCCATCAATCACGCATTTCGATGCATGATGGCCAAAGAGGCCAAGTTGCACAAATCAATATCACATGAATGCACAAAAACACATAAATACCTTAACCTCTATCATGCATGATCAAGAGGGTCGGCGACCGAGAATTGAGGAACATTTCATCACTTCAAGTATGGAACGTCCCTCGTTCCTCGTGTTTGGCTTAACAGCCAAGCCAAACAGAATACAATGCATGCACAACTTAACAAAGCTAATGGCATGCAAACAATATAATGCAACTCAAGCATGTAACAAAATGCAATGCAACCTAAACATGCAAACAAAGTTAATGGAACATGAGCATGCAACGCGATAAGCATGCAACAACATGCAACGATGGACTTAAACCAAAATGGACAGACCTCAATCATACCCAAATCAGTGGCCAAAATGATATGAAATGATGGCATGAAATGTAAGATAAGCATGCATGCCAATTAGCCTGTCAATTAAGCATAAGAACACAACTCTCAAAGGTGCTCAAAGAGCGACAAATGCAAGTGTATGACCACACTATAAGCTCTAAAATCATACATGGAATGATGCCAAATCAACCAAACAAAACAAGTATAGCATATTAGGAGGCTCGAAGCTCAAGGTTAACAAAGGGACTTACACCATGGCCATGCCAAGCAAGCCCCAAAGGGCCAAGGACAACCAAAACAGTCCCAAGGCAGGTCAAAATAAGACCAAAAACATGCTTGAACCTAGTCAACACAAGCTAGAACAAAAGACCAAAAGCATGAAGCATGCAAGGCTAACAAGGGGGTATTACACTACACCTATCAAAACCAAACATGGCATGACTTTAACAACAAAAATTAGAGTTATATCATGGTAAAGCAAGACCAAAAATGCACTGAAATGATAGTCCAAAGGCCTAAGCATAGAGGCATACACAATGATCCATTCTTGACGCATAAAGAGCCAAACCTCCTAGGGCATTAAAAGAGTGACAAGCACAAATATATGACCATGAAATATGCTCTAAAATTACATAACAAATGATGCCAAATCATGAAAGTAGCCCAAGCAATGCATGCTAGTGGCTTGGAAACTCAAAGCTAACAAGCTAGAATGCACTATGGCTATACAAAGCATGGCATACATGATCAAGACAACACAAATCAGAGCTTAAACATGGTAAAAACAAGGCTAAAAGCTTCTTTGAGTTGAGCCAAAACATGTAAGAATGATGATCTAGACACAAGATGCATGTTAAGACAATAGAGATGATTGCACTACAAGTGCATGGAGCATGCAAGGGGCCATCAAACCAACCTTAGACAGAGGTATAACATGTTGAAATAAGATCTAATACATGCTGAAATGAAACCAAAACATGCTAGACAAACATGCTCAATTATGAGGCATGCAAAGCAAACATACAAGACACAAGGAGAGGGGATGACCCTCTCCTATTTGGGACCTTAAAATCACATTTCTACCACTGAAAATCCTCTGAGTTTCAGTGGTGAGAAGGCCGAAATAAGGTGGTCCTAATAGCTTAAAAAGAAAGGCATAGAACAAGGCCAAACAAGGCCTATGAGGGGGTAGACTACCCCCAGCACAAAAGTGACCTTAAACAAACATTACAAGCTTGCAAAATAAAAACTATTTATAGTAGAAAGTTAAGCTTAAATCAGCTTGCAAATAGGTCCAAAAACTTAAGCCAAAATGAGGGATTAAAAGCTAGTTGACTCACCCTTGAAGAACACCTTCAAGAACACAACTCCAACACTCTTTTCTGACCAAAACCAATCCAAAAACTCTAAAATCAACTTCAAGAAGCCTCAGCAACCAAAGGATGGTGTTTTAGTAGGTAATTTAGTGCAAAAGTGTGAAGAATTTACACTTTTGAGCACAAACAAGAGCAAATATGGAGAAAGGGGTAAAATATATATATAGAGAGAGAGTGATATATGTTTTGTATATAAACTTTTTAGAACCTCCGGAAAGGGAGAGGGGTCTCCCTTCTTATAGAAAATTAATTCTTAAGCTTGTTGAACAAGCTTGAGTCTTGATTCAATCCCTCCATACACGTGTATGGAGGATGAGAATTATGCTCACCAGCTGTCACAGCTGGCACAAAAATATCTGCAAAAGCAGGTGGAAAGGTCTCGGCCAAGAAATATGGCCGATCGACCAAAAAGAGTGCCAATCGACCAAAAAGAGTGCCGATCGGCCAACACTTACGGCCGATGGCAAGAAAACAAGGCCGATAAGCACAAGGCTTGGCCGATGGGTTGCAGGGATGGCCAACAAGCCACCCTTTTCCCTCAAAAGCAAAAATCACAAGTGATTGGTCCATAACCAAGCACAAAACAAACAAGTTGAGAGATCCTAAGGCAAGGCGCGCAGCCGAGACCTTCGGAAACTCAAAACGAACACGAGCATGGATGATCATCGAGTATTCAAACGATGACGTCCAAGTCTTGAAAACGGTCAAAAATGGGGTGTCTACAACATGTCCTGAAGAGGCCTTGATGGAAAGCAACAGTGAGACAGAAGGAGAAGTTGACCTAGGCCAAAAGAAAGAAATGGTTAAGGAGAGATGTTTGAAGCCTTCATGGCTGAACAGACATTTTTGGTCGAAAAACCAGCAGGAACAGACTATTCGAAGGAGGTCACTAATGTTGTAGTGCCAGAATGCATGGAAGATGTTTATGAAATAACTGAACAAGTTAGCCTGGAAAAGAAGCAAGTGCAGCCCATAGTTCAGTTTGGCTCATTTCCTCCAATGTCAGTGAATATGGTGCATTTACTACCACATGAGTTCCAGGCTGAAGATGGAAACCAAGAAGGTCAGGAGATTGACCCTATTCTAGTTTTTAGTGAAGATTCACAGGCTAGCATGGTTCAAGATAAATCTGAAGTGGCCATACCAATGGAAATTGAGGACGAGAGTGAGGAAGTGAGTATTAATCTCTCATATCCTTTTGAGTATCCTACAACATCTATGACACAGCATGTCAAGCCCTTGTATATTAAGGCTTTTTTCAATGGGATACAAATAAATAGGGTATTGACGGATAATGGGGCAGCAGTGAACCTGTTTCCAAAATCCTCTTTGAAAAAACTAGGAAAAAGGAATCCCAGATTAATCCCAACCAGAATAACTATTGCTGGTTTTGCTGGAGATAAACAGATGGCTCAGGGTATTTTGCCCATCAACCTAAGTGTGGAAACCAAAGATTGCATAACAGCATTCTCTGTTATTGATAATAATGGTAAGTATAATGCTTTACTTGGCGGGAATTGGATTCACACCAACAAATGTGTGCCTTCCTCTCTACATCAAAAGATAAGGATGACTTTATGCAATGGAGAGACAGAGGAGATCAATGCAGACCCTCAACCTTTTGTCGCTTATACTGATTTTGCAGAAGCCAAGTTATATATTGAAGGAGTGACACTACTCAGTATATTAAGAAAACCTGATGGTTCAGCCGAAGTGATAGCCGATGAGGAAGTAGCACACCTAAAGCACTTAGTACAGGAGAGTGTTGATAAAGAATTCGTCATCAAAGATGATAATGATACCTGGTTGTAGGTAAGAAGATGAAACCCAAGAAGCCAGACCTTTGGCTTTAGTTAAGTTTTCAGCATTGGACTTAAAATTAGTAGTCCAAAAAGTTCAAGAACAACAGAAGGAAGCCATGGTAATTGGCTGTAAGCAGGAACAACAACAGGTCAGGCCTTTGACCTTTGATAAATACTATGCATTGGACATTGAAACAAAAGTCCAGGAAATACAGGAAGAATAAGCCTTATGCACAGACTTCGTCTATAAGGAAGAAGGCAAAGATGTTGAATTGGAGAAAGTGGGAGCAGAACAAAGCAAAAAAATTGCTTCGAGGGCAAAAGAAATCAAAAGAGAAGTATTAGTGAGTTCTCAAATACAAGACCCCTTGGAAGAAGTTAATTTAGGGGAAGGGTCTGCATAACAACCCACTTACATCAATACTTGGTTAACTACTCTTGACAGGGACCAGTTATTGATGGTCTTAAAGAGATATAAAGATTGTTTTGCATGGTCTTATAACGAACTGCCAGGATTGGATAGGTCATTAGTGGAACATAGGCTCCCTATGAAGCCTAATTTCAAGCCATACAAGCAGAAGCCAAGTAGGATGAGTCCTGAAGTGATTTAGAAGGTCAATGAGGAAATTCTTAGGCTCCTTAAGGCAGACTTTATTAGAACGGCCAGATATGCTGAATGGCTATCCAATATTGTGCCTGTGGTTAAAAAGAATGGTAAAATTAGGATATGCATTGATTTTAGAAATCTGAATTTAGCAACTCCAAAAGATGAGTACCCCATGCCCATAGTAGACTTATTGGTGGATAGTTTAGCAGGGCACAAGATTTTATTTATGATGGATGGGTATTCTGGTTACAACCAAATTTGCATTGCAGGGGAGGATGTCCATAAGATAGCATTTAGATGTCCTGGGAACATTGGCACCTTCGAATGAGTTAAAATGCCATTTGGCCTAAAGAATGCTAGGGCTACATATCAAAGGGCAATGAACACTATCTTTCATAATCTCATTGAAGGGTATTTAGAGTGTTACATTGATGACATTGTAGTAAAATCCCAGTCCATAGAGGAACATTTAGTTCACTTGGAAGTAGCTTTCGAAAGAATGAAAAAGTTTAAGTTGAAGCTTAATCCTCTCAAATGTGCTTTTGGTGTATCAGCTGGAAATTTTTTGGGCTATGTAGTACACAAGAAAGGCATACAGATTGATCAGAATAAAGCCAAAGCCATCATTGAGGCCAAGCCTCCATCAAGTAAGAAAGAAATACAAAAATTCCTTGGACATGTTAATTTTCTTCGAAGATTTTTTTTTAACACTGCAGGGAAAACTAAAGTATTTTCTTCATTTTTAAGGTTGAAAGATAAAGAGGAGTTTATGTGGACAGTAGAGTATCAAACTACTTTCGAAGGAATTAAAGTCTACTTGGCCAAGCCTCCAGTGCTGATGCCACCAAAGAGTGATAAACCATTGAAGTTATACATTGCCTCAGCAGAAATTCATTGGGAGCTTTCCTAGCCTAGGATAATGAAGAAGGCAAGAAGCAAGCAGTTTATCACCTTAGTAGGTTTTTAAATTCTTGTGAATATAAACACTCACACTACAACAAAAGTAACCTATGGTGACGAAAAGTAGTGAAGAAAATAAATTTCGTCACTAAATAAGAATAATTCGTGACGAATTACAAAATTTTGTCACATATAATAAAAAAATAAAAATAATTGGTGACGAAATTTATTTTCGTCAACAAATACTTCTTTTTAAGTGAGGAAAAATTAAGTTTCGTCACCGAAGGTTTTTTCATTAATTTTTTTTTGGTGGCGCCAAAATTTTGCGACTTTTGGTGAGAAAAAAATTTGTCACCAATTATAAAATTATTAGTGAGGAATATATTTTCGTCACCAATAATTATATATATATATATTTTGAGAAATTTGATTTTAAATATTTTAAGACCATTTGGTGAGAAATATAATTTTATCACTAATAATTTTTAATATTTTGAGGCTTTTTAGTGAGGAAATTATTTTGTCACTAATTTTGGAAGGGCAAGTTTTGACATATTGGGCGGTAATGAAAAAAATAGACTACTAACTTTTTCTCTCCCCTCACCCTCTCTCTTTATTGTTTATCAATTTTCCTTTCCCCTCTTTCTCTCTCTCTCTCTCTCAAAACAAAACACAAGTTAATTAGCTCTCTAAGTAACCTTTGATGACGAAAGTAGTGAACAAAATAAATTTCGTCACTAAATAAGAATAATCCGTGACGAATTATAAAATTTTATCACATATAATAAAAAAAAAAATAGGTGACGAAATTTATTTTCGTCAATAAATACTTCTTTTTAGGTGAGGAAAAATTATATTTCGTCACCAAAGGTTTTTCCTCTAATTTTTTTGGGTGGCGCCAAAATTTTGAGACTTTTGGTGAGAACAAAATTTGTCACCAATTATAAAATTATTAGTGAGAAATATATTTTTGTCACCAATAGTTTTAAATATTTTTTTTTGAAAAAATTGATTTTCAATATTTTGAAACTATTTGATGAAGAATATATTTTTTTCATCAATAATTTTAACATTTTAAAATTTTTGGGGAGAAAATTATTTTATCACCAATTTTGAGGGAGAACTTTGTGATATTGGCGGCAATGAAAAAAAAAAAAAAACCTACTAATTCCCCTCCTTTTTTTTTTGGTGCTTCAGTTTTCTTCTCATCCCTCTCTTG